TATATATATGTACGTAAGTATTATATATATTATATTGTGTGTAGTATNTATATATATATATATATATATATATATATATATATATATATATATATATATGTGTGTGTGTCTGTTTGTGTTTGTAGAGAGAGTGTGTATGTCCTTTGTGTGAATGAGGGTGTGTATTGTTTTGTGTGGATGAGTGAGTGTATATATTGTTGTGTAGGTAGTGCTGTAATTCATAATATATGTTTATAGTTTCATTGCTACTCTACAGATCACGGATCCAATCATTCTGAAGGCTCGCATGGTTAATAGTCCGCGGAAGTATAGTTGGGAGATGATTATCTATCAAGCACACCATCGTGACAGAACTACAATCACCATGAAGCCTGATTTCTCATACAACTCGTCGGAAAAGTGCTACATCTGCGTCGGCATGTTTCAGCGACCCCTTCATATATCACTGGGCGATTTCTTACACAAGAGGTGTGCGCTTGTATGTGGGTCAAAGTCGTGTGTATGCTTGCCATAGTGTGTCTTCTACTCTAGTGCCGTTTGTACTTTGGACAGGCCTGCTATACGACTCCTGTCTGTATCACTGGGCGATTTCCTACTCTTTATCTATAGGTTTAAAGACGTATGCACGCTTGCCATAAGATGTACGCACCCCTTCTATGGCTTACAATATACTCGGGCGTGGTGAGATTGCTTAGTGCTGGAGGGCTCGTGCATATTTGTTCTACGTGTGTAGATCCATTGCGAAGCACCCTCCTCCTAACCGCACCTACATCGGTGCAATCGCAGTTGCGCAAGGTCCGTGCCGATGCCGCTGTGGACATATCTTTTACAACACATGTACTTACCGTTGCCAAGTAAGTATATACTATGGCACTCAGCTTGGACTCTCACATTCCCTACCTACCTACCTAACTATATAGATATGCCAGACAGACCACACAAAAGGGCCAGATCATACTTGTGCAATCGCAGTTGAGCATGATGGCTCGTGCCAATGGTACTGTTGACATACATTTCCAAACGTATATACTTATCATTGCTAAGTAGTATATACTAAGGTATTAACGTGCACTCTCTCACTCTCTACCTATCTGCCTACCTACCTACGTAGATACGCCAAGCAGACCACACAAAAGGGTCAGATCATACCGGTGCAATCGCAGTTCAGCCTGACCCCAGCCGACGGCCCTTTGGGCTTCCAACTCACCGCCGAAGACACTACGCAAAGCAATCCACTGGTGCTGCACTCGAAGGAGAGCATCAAGTTCACCAACATCACCAGCAGCACGTACACCATTGACTCACACGCCCTCTACAACTTCCAGAAGTACACGACGAACCGCAAATACGGACGTATGTTGCGGGTGGTGGTGCAGACGGTTCTAGGGTTACACTATATGGGCAGCTTTGTTGTGCGTGTGTTCTTTTATTTGTGCTTGTGTATGCGTGTGTTTGGTGGCCAAAGAGGGGTGGGTGGGTGTTTGTGAAAGTGTCTGTGCAGGTCAGTGTGTCCAAGTGTGCTTGTGCTTTCGTAGGACGTAGCGTGTTCATGTGTACGAATTTGCTTGCGTTAGTACGCTGTGAGCCAGCTGCGATGTCGTCTTACTTCAGATATTCATAATCAGTCTCCACGCGCTGTCTTAGAGTCAACCACAAGAGTTATACCTCCTGGCGTAGTGACTAGCTGTCAAAAATTACTATTATTTTTTGTACTTGGTTTCACGATATGAAGTTAATATATATATATATATATATATATATATATTTATAAATAATCATATATCATATATCTATATATCTATGTATATATATATATATATCTATATCTATATCTATATATTTATATATCTATGTATTTCTATATATATACATATATATTTATTATATAGTATATATATATATATATTTATTAGTATATAATATTAATATTATGGTGTNTATAATAATATATAATATATAATATTAAATAATAATATATATAATTATAGTACTANATATTANATATATA